AAGAAGCTACTAGTAACAAGTGCATCGCTTCTAGTAACAAGTGCCTTACTAGTAGTAACAAGAAGATATTAGAAACAAGAAGCTACTAGTAACAAGTGCATCGCTTCTAGTAGCAAGTGCCTTACTAGTAGTAACAAGGACGCTACTAGGAGCAAAGAAGCTACGATCGGGGCTCCTGGCATCGCTACTAGGAGCAATGTTCGCTACTAGGAACAAAGGACATCGCTACTAGGAGCCATCGGACGCTAGCAGGTTGGAGGCCATCGCAATAAGCTTATTAGACTCAACGTGTTTTAATGTCGAACAGCCATGGGCGCTGAAAAGTCATGCAACACTGCTCTTTTGCCTTCTACCAACTTCCGGAGCTGGATTGGCTCTTGCTGTGTTCAACTCGGTTTTGTTGTTCAGCTCTTGCTGAGTCTTGATCTTTCTTTGCTGTTGCCTGCAATATTTGGCACGTGCCTATCACTCGACTGACTTGTTCAGTATTCAGAACGACTACTTTCTAGACTTTTTTCTTTTTTTTTCGGGCACACGCTGCAATGCACTCAAAGTTCAAATTGAGGTCGTCTCTTGTTCGCAAGCGTGATGAGTCAAACAACTCAAGTAGACATCAAAACACAAAGGATCACCTTCTGAATTCAGTGTAGACGCATAGGTTTTTGGATGGTAGATGTATCTTTTTGCTCCGGAAATGAATACATCCCGGCACCTTGACCGTATAGGTGGTGCCAGAAACAGGCGGCCTTGGTTCCGGGCCCAACATACTCTCCACTGTGCCTCCTCTTCGCCACAGTTAAGTCTAAAATATAAAAATAGAGAACATCATCGCTACTAGTAGCTCCTGGCATCGCTACTAGTAACAAAGAGCTACTAGATGCTACTAGTAACAGTATCGTCTAGAGGCGTTTTGAACGTCTTAAAGTGCGGTCATCGAGAACAAGAAGCTACCAGCTACTAGTAACAAGGGCATCGCTACTAGGAACCCGGGCATCGCTACTAGGAGCAAGGACGCTACTAGTAACAGAAGACCAACGTGGTCTCTGACGCAGGACGCGTCAGTGCCACGTCCAAAGCTCCGCACCCTGGCCCCAGTACCGAAGCAGGCAAGGCCGAAAGTTCGGAGCCTTCGGAGCGATGTTCGCTACGAACGGAGCAAAGGGCCACGCTAGTAGTAACAGGTGCCTTACTAGTAGTAACAATGTTTGCTATTAGAAACAAGTGCATCGCTACAATCGGGGCTCCTGGCCTTACTACTAGGAGCAAAGACGCTACGAACGGAGCGTCCTTGCTCCTAGAAGGAATGGCCTCCAACCTAATAAAGACCTTTGTTATCCTTCTTTCTTAAAAAAGAATAGTTCTCTGGTCTATGGATGTCAAAACCAATTCTAATTCTAATCTAATTTAATTCTAATTTAACTCAATTGATTTAATTTAAATCTGATTCAATTCTAATTTAGTTTAAGTTTAATTTAACTTAATTTAATTATAGTTATGATTCTTATGTCTACTAGCTTCTTGTTACTACTAGTAAGGCACTTGTTCCTAGAAGAGATGCACTTGTTACTAGTAGCTTCTAGTTACTACTAGTAAGGCACTTGTTCCTAGTAGCTTATTGTTTCTAATAGCTTCTTGTTACTACTAGTAAGGCACTTGTTACTAGAAGCGATGCACTTGTTACTAGAAGCCTCCTCCGGTCTATGGATGTCAACAATTTCTTGCATCCCTTCCGTTCCGCCTTCAGTGCCATGGCTCCTGGAACAAACTCAAACGCACTGAGCAGTCGCATGCTACGCTACAATTGGTTGATGTACAGAACGCATTCTTCCATTCTGCGGACGAGACGTGACAAGAAGTACACTGTTTGCACCTAGAGAAAGGACCAACCAAAAACTTGGTGACATGTTGAGCCTTTTTTCAGAAACAAAGAAGAAACACACATTTCGAAGAGGAAAAGAGAACAACTTAGCTACTTGGCTTCTCTACTTCTAAGAAATACTTCTTACTTACTTCTTGCTTGTTTGCGTATATTTATTTGAAATTGCTTTACTTTACCATAGCTTACTTAGCTTTACCAACACTTCTTACTTCGAAACTTCGCAACGAGAAAATCGCTCGCAGATTCGCTCCCGGTGAGCGGCTGCCGCTCAGCTTTGCCTCGAAGCACAGGTTTTTGTTACTAGTAGCGATGCACTTGTTCCTAGTAGCTTCTTGTTACTACTAGTAAGGCACTTGTTACTACTAGCGATGCACTTTTTTTCCTTTTTTAGCTTGAGGTAGCTACCAGCATGGACGCAGGCAAGCCCACGCCTCTTCAAGAAAGCTCCCCTCGCCGCCCTAAAGGCGGCGGGGGAAGCTTTCTGGAAGAAGCGCTTGCACGAATGATTTGGTTCCTAGATGTTTTTGGAAGCTTAACTTAACAAGTACATCGCCATGAGTAACTAAGCCGGCGGCATTGTGTTGCAAAACACATAGTACACTTTGTTCTATTTCACTGCATTGAGTAGGTTGGAGGCCATTGTTATTAGCTTCCTTTTCTCTCATATGTCTTATTATGAACAAGAATGCTACGATCGGGGCTCCTGGCCTTACTACTAGGAACAAAAGGACGCTACTAGGGGCTCCTGGCATCGCTACTAGGAACAATAAAGCATAATAAAGCTACTATTGTTTAAAACAAACGCGTTCTTCTTTCATGTCTTGTTCGCTTGTCCTTTGTTCGGCGTCGGCGCCGAACGCGCTCGAACAGCTTCACCTGAGCTGCTGGAGTTCTTCACCATGCCCTTGGCACGCCTGACCGGTTCGGTCGGGAGAATGTCGCAGTAAGAAGCACAGGAGACACAGACCGTCAGCCGCAAGAACCGTTTAGCCAACAGAAGTTACAAGAAGCCACCGAGAGCCAACAAAAACCAAACCATCTCTCAACCACACGTCAGCTTAAAGCCACACAAACCACCAAAGGCCATAGCGGTACTGGAGCCAGCAAGAGTCACAAGCCACAGAAGTCACCATAAAGCTCAAGCCAGTTTTAAAGCCAGTTAGAAGCCACAAAAGCCTGGACCAAGAATGTTTTGCTAAAAGGAACAAGAAGCTACTAGGGGCTCCTGGCCGTACTACTAGGAACAAAGGGCATTACTAGTAGCAAGGACGCTACGAACGTAGCTTCTGGCGTTACAAAAGGTGAAGCAGCAGGACGGGCTGCTGAACGCACTGCTCGGCTGCTCGGACTTAGCACTTGTGTATATCACCAGCAACCATGGATGATGATGGTTAGTTAGTAGCCCCTAGTAGCGTCCTTTGCTCCTAGTAGTAAGGCCAGGAGCCCCTAGTAGCGTCCTTTGCTAGTTAGTTAGTAAAGGCCTTTCCTTTTTAAAAAGTGATAATCTTTTGCTGACTGTTGCTGGTAATGAGCTACACCTACTCAGCACCCCATCATACGAAAGAAGGCCAGAAGTTTGCTCGAACTCTAGCTTCCAGTGATCAGCCGTTATTTCGACTACTTCTCCCATGTTGGTGCTAAAGGCCTGATTCACTTTCAACTACCACCACATCTTATCACTAGAATCTAGAAACTACAATGCAACTAGAATCGCGACCTGAGCTTTCTTTGCAAACTACCCTAGTGACAAGTAGTAGTAATGTTGCTAGTAGCTTCTTGTTACAAGTAGTAATGCCCTTGTTAGCGATTCACCTTGTTACTAGTAGCTTTTGTTACTAGTAGCTTTCTTTGCAAAC